AGTCACAAATAAATGGCATTAGCATTCTTTTTGAGCAAGTCCAGAGCATGCCATAAACTGGCTGTCAAGTTACAACTGCAAAGTCACTGTAGCAAGAAATTAAGCAGGCCAGCCACTTAGTTTCCTATCTTAATCAATAACTTTTCTGCTGTTTCCAGCTGCTGTCCAAAACGAACAAAGCCAGACTGACCTGGTCTTTGTCTATTCCAGACCAAAGGCTGCAGTTTGACAGTGAACTGGAGAAAACACTATCAAGTTTGATTCGTGGGAATGCCAACAACACTGGTCAGCTGATAAACTGAGTTTCCAAAAAAAAAAAAAAAAAAAAAAAAAAAAAAGAACCACCAGGAATTTTAGAGAGGCAGGCATGACTTGATATTGTCCTCTTCAAACTTCATTAGGGTCACATGCTATTCATAGCTGGTGCTATGGTAAGGGCAACACCCAAAGACAAAGTGAGAAGAATTACATATCTCATAGTAAGTGTTTGTATGATACATGTAATACACAGCTTTGCTAATTACACTGTGAAAACTGAAAGAGTTAAAAGCAGGAAAGAATAAATGAGGTTCGCTGACCAACATTCATTTTACTAAAGATTTTGTATTGGTCCTGTCATTATAAAGCTGCCTTTCACCACAAAAGCTTCAGGTTTTACCTGGTTTAGAACTTTTTGGAGATATGGTGTTCCCATCCGATCTGCCATGTGCCTATATGCTGGGTGGGAAAGAAAGAATTTCCTTTCTGCTAGAAGAGCTGCCTTTATGTCCTTCTTCCCATCAATGTCTTTCTGGCTTCTGTTTACAACACCAATGTAGCCTAAACCAATACAAAACCAATGGGTAAGTCAATGCAACAATTGCCTGAACTACTGAATTCATATTAAATAGAACCAGACCGCCTCAGTTCAATCAAAGCTTTCCGGTTTAGGCATTTCAGGTATTGTTTACAAGCACTATAATGACCTTAACAGTGTCTAAATTGTTCATCCTGTTTACATGTAACAGATATACTTCCTTTTAAATCACTGATTCCAATACAGAAATATCTGAAACTTTGATGTACCCCACAGAAACCACTTCAAAAATAAAAAGAAGGAAAAAAAAACACACAAAAGAAAAATCGAAACTCACACCCAGGTCTTCATAAATAAATGATACGAGATTAGCAAAATACAGGAAAATTTATTCTCATTTGCTGGACCAACATGCTCCATAGGAGGAGATGGTGGTCTCATCAATAAATTGTAACTAGAATCAAAATTCTTAATATTGTTAACAGTGTGAGCAACTGTGACGGTAGCTGCCAGAACAATCACATGGAAAATTTCTGGAAGGGGTCAAAACTTGGTTTACAGTGAGATTACCAAAACTCTGATGCTTGCTTCTGTCATATGCAAAGAAAAAAAAAAAAAAAAAAAAAAAAAAAAAAAAAGATTCCTTTGTTACATGGGACAGCAACCTGGCATAGAAAAGAAAACTGGCGATCAACTTGTGCTGACATTTATTGTTTCCTCTGGAAAATGCAGTGTATTTTCCAGGTCCAGGAAAAAAAAAAATTTTTACTTGCAGGATATTTTTAGCACAGCCCCCTTTTATGTTTGCTGAATAGATAATAATAAAAGCTAGGAACTCATCAAGTCCAGCGTAACCTTTGATTCACCTCCAGGATTCTGAAACACCCTTATCCAAACCACCTTCTGGATTGCAAAGAATATAGGCAACTGAACTTTCTCACCTCTACGAAGAGGGAGCAGCTTGTTTTCTAGAATTTCTCTTGCATCTGTTCCTTCATCCATCAGATCCAATTTTGTGATCACACCGATGGTCCTAAGGCCTGACCAGGGTGGAGGCAGGAGGAAAAAGATAGGAAAGAATCATTTATATTCAGGAAGAACAATTACATCTAACAATTATATAACAACAGATATAGGAATTCCACAAAGCATGTATCACACAATATCAGCTACAACTGCAAGTTATGGTATGTCTAGAAAAGGGGTCATCATTGCCAGTGCTGAAATGTGTTCCTCAAATCTCTTTCACAAGGTCCAACATTCCCATGATATGACTGTATAAAATTTATGATGCAAGTTTCCAGAAATCTCATCAGCACCACAGTCTATTTTGCTAGGTATTACAAAAATTTCTAGATGGGCACTGCCCCACTTGCTTATAAGAGGTAGTGACAAAATTTTAAAAATACATTTACAGCATACATTTACCTGAATTACACTGAGCTAACAGTTAGTGTGGTGTTGAAGCTTGTATGAGCATGTATATATATATACGCACACATTATATTTATTATATATTTCATACAAGAGTTGGGCAACTACTTCTAATTATGTTATTGCACTTGAGAATAAAAAGTGATTACATTCAATCATGCTTACCTTGAGGGTCCACTTCCTTAGCTAACTTCAGTGCATCTGAGTTGGCCAGATCAGTGTTAGCTGGAGTCACAGCCAGTATCAGACAGTTTTCTCGAGAGATGAACTGCATTATCATGTCTCTGATCTGCTGCTCAATATCTGGAGGCTGGTCCCCTACTGGCACTTTAGTAATTCCCGGCAAATCAATGAGAGTCAGGCTTAATACTATACAGAAAACACAGGATCATGAAACTGGTTAGCACGCAAGACTATATATAAAGAGGTCTACACATCTATGACTGCAGACAAATTTTAGTCACATAAAACCCCACATAATTACTGTTATAGGTATATAAATATTGTCAATGGTTCAAACAAAATGCCTGATAATCTGAAAAGTATACTTGCTTCCCTGTTGGTCTTTCATCTCTGGATTTGTTAGTATTATTTAACATTTTTAACATTACAACTGGCATAGGAGAATGATACTTAAACTGAATATCCTTGAAGGCTCTTAGACAAATGAACACAGCTTTCTGAATTTTTTCTACCAACAGGAGCACAGACAACAGACCATTCCCATTGCATCTTTCAAATCAACGCAAAATAGGCTTTTTTTTTTTCCATTTTTTTTTTTAAATACAGTCTCTCTCTGACCATGCTTTCAACAGCGTCTCCAATTAAGAAACTCCCCAAAAGGTCAATTGCTATCTTAACTTATATAGCAAAGTTGTTGTTAAGGGGTTTTGGAATATGTTGTTGTTTTGGGGTTTGGGTTTGTGGTTTTGTTTTGTGGTTTGTTTGGTTTTTTTTACTCTGTAACTTCTTAAGAAAATTAAGAAATGTAAAAAGGTTTATCCATTAAGAAAACCTGTTTTGCTCTGGCATGATTTCCCCAGTACAGACCACAATGCCAACTAGAAGTATTCTAGCTTGTTCAGCCAGTATTGGGGCAACAGGGCATCCTCTAGACAAATGAGAAAAATATGATTCCTAGAAAGGAAACACCAGAAGTATAATTGAGGTCTGGCTAATACAGACAACAGTTGCTGAATAAAAGACTGATCCTAATAAAATAAAGCGAGAGCATTAGGTAGGAAATTTTCACTTTCTCCTGGAGTCATCATGTTTAACAAACAAGCTTTGAGGCAGGGCATTTAGTTCAGCTCCTGTCCAGTTGGCTATGCTACATCTGTATAGCAGAGAAGGCCTCAGGGGCATATGTTTAGAGCCAAGGCTGCTCATGGTATATCAAAGGGAGGTACAGCATCTCTTTAATTCCCTCTCCTCTTTTTTTAATCTTTCTGTTCTTTGATTTGCAATGAAGACATCAGATGAGGTGGTTAGAAAAATAAAGTGTTTCAGCCAAATGTACCACTTTTCTCCTGTATCCAAGACAGATTCAATGCAAAACATTTTCTCTAGACTGCCTTCATTAAATTGGGCAGATGGCAACCAGAGGAACTAACTTTGATCTATACCGGGGGTCTACAATAGAAAGCAGCTTCAAACACCATTATTGTCTACCCAATAGGGCAGGGAGACATAATGACTTTCTAGATCACCAATCAGGGAATCCATCTGGAGGGTAGCAAAAAGAAGTTTTGCCACTGAATCTCCCATCTCCTATTCTTTGTCTTTACTAGTGAGCTACTAACTAATAGTATACTTACTAGGGGAGAGATTGATTTCATCTTGATGCAGAGAGAGAATATTTTTAAATCATGAGAATATTAAATGGGACAGAGAGCCTGCGTTCTGTCCAGCTCTGCTGCCAACAGCTCTCTACCATAGAGTGGTTTCGTAACACAGGAGAAGTTAAGGATTCTTCCAAATATATATCTACTTTTGGTTCAACTCAATCTCAGAAGTTTTTTCACCCCAGAAGACTTCTGATCAAGTAATCAGAATGCATACAAAAGGAGACAGCTAGACAGACAGAACTAAGAAATACATTACATGACAGAAATATAAAAATAAAATTATTTTACCTACCATGTGGAGAATATATTCTTAAATTAATAGGAATTGAAGAAATGCCTTTGTTCACTCCTGTTATTCTATCTGTTTCTACTTCAATTTCCTGACGAACTTCATCAAAATCAGTAAATTTCCTCCCTTTGCAGTGCAGAAATTCAGCATACTCTGTGAGAAACATCAATAACAACTCTGTATTTCACAGGCTTATAGACTTGGACAGCCACTTTCAAGCCCCTTGTATTCTTCAGATGTGTATGCACAAAAGGATGTCATCATGGATATCAGGAAAGCATTATATATGAGCACATGCTATAGATATGATTGCACAGATGAAAACCAGCCTACAACAAGAAAGGGTTAGTTAAAGAGTCAAACTGACTGGATATGATTTACAGCTTTTATCTTTAGCATGTCATCTTCTGGAACAACCTGAAAGATTCAAACAGATACCATTTACATTAATAGAATAAGGAACAGATTGTGAATCAGATTCTGACTTTTCATCTGATTACATTTGCCTGTAATACATCAATAAATTGAAAAAAAGTAATTCAAGTTCCTTATCATGAAAGATTATTAGCATTTGTTTTCAAAAATCTAACAGCCCATGTTACACATTATTTTAACAAAAGAGTTCTGTACATTTTTACAAGTTCATCATGAAAATAAGATCACTTAAAAACATTGTAACGTTTTTAGACACAACTTCTCATTTCCTAAAGAGTTCTTGTGGTCTAAATCCAAACCATGCTTAAGAAGTTTGTAAAAGCTTTTATAGACATAGCTGTGATTTTGCTGAAGTGGGAGGATTTCCAAGTCTTCAATATCATACAACTTGCCCTCTTACCTTAAAAGGGCATCAACCAGGAATCAAGGATAGATACAGCCTTATTTGTTATACTCAAACTTGACACTAGGTCCCTGTTTTGACTCTTAAATCCAAATACTGATACTAATTATTGTATCCTTCTGAATTTCCTGCCCTAGAGGTACGTAACCAAAAGCACATCTTGAATTTTAAAATTTGAATTTCTTCCTTCAAATAGGGCAAAACAGGACACAAAGGTTTATCTCACATAGCAAGGCTGTAATCAGAAACAATGACATACACGGTAAACACAAGATAGAACCTCACATTCTGTCCCCACAAGGTCAAGCAGTAGGACTGGAGAAACGCTGGACAGAGCTGTGTATGTTCATTTCATCCCACCATCAGGGCCTGATTGCAAAATTCTATTCAGGTATTTCTTCCCTAAAAAACATTTCTTGGTAAAAAGCCCTCAGATATCAGGGCAAAGAGCTTGCTTGGTACTCAAAGAAAGAACAGCAGCTCAGGAGACCTGATCCAAGAATATAGATTAATAGAGGGCCTTATGTATCAGTACTGAAGTCCGTTTCCCACAAGTCATTTTATTACTATTGTTGACAGAGCTGTTAAAAAACAAACAAACAAAAAACCCAAACACACACAAAACCATAACAATAGTTAATGCAAGAGAGGAGAGGAAAACAAACACCAACCTTCCTGTGCTACAATACCATAATCCCTCCAGATTCAAAGTGTGAGGGAGAGGGAAACCAACCCTTGTTAAGGCAAAAAAAAAATACATGTCATTTAAAAAAATAAGGGGGCACCTAACAAAAACCTCCATCTTACTTTTGACAACTTAAGAATTCCAGAATATCTTATATTCCTTTTTAGCTTTAGCAGCAAAAGGACAGTGAATGGTGGTTTTGTGTGTTTCATAGTCAACTGTTTATTAAAAAAACCAAAGAATATTCAAATATTTCAAAGTGAATGTTAATATGGCACACAAAATAATATATCTCAGTTGCTCTAGCACATTTGATAAATCACATTTGTAAAATTTGTCATCTCAAAATTGGAAAATTGAAAAAAACAGCAAATAACAGTGGACAAGTGGTTCTTATTTTGTCCCAGTTCGTCATGCACTGCTCCTGGCACAAAATAAAACGTGTTCTTCTTAGTTATTTTTTCAGTGGTTCAACAGATTTTCTCAGAAAAATACTTCAAAATTCAGTAATTAATACTTGATGCCTAGCTGTAACCAGTTGACTGACTCAGCTGATAGTCAAGGAAGCTTTTCCCTTTGTTCCACTTAACACTCAGAAAGAGTCCCTATCTGAAATGGCTTCAAGGTAATTCAGATTAAAATGTTTACTACTTTTTAGCTATGTTAATATTTATCAGTAGCTCATTCTTCCCAGTGACATCTGTGCTCCCACTAGTTCTGAAGGTATAGACTTTACAACGGTTCGTAACCTGTGCTGCCACACACAGCCTACGGAATAAAAATTCAAAGGAACAAGCAGCGCTTTGTTTTGCTCTTTTCAGCCCTTAGCCTGTCCTTGGCAATGATGCCTTTAGCCAGACTGGATAAGCACATGCTTTAATGCAATCTTTAGTTTTCGGCTTTCATACACAGAAGAATACTAGGAAAACATTTCATTTACACTTTTGTGAGAATGGACATGAAGTCAGACAAGAAAATGTGACCCTGCCTAATGTCTAGTTGTCAGACATGTATTTTCTGTATAAAATTGAAGTTACATTAAGAGAAAGAACAAGATCAAAAATTAAAACATTGGCTTTTCATGTAGAATACTCCCCCTCCTCCCTCAAATCATTCAAAGCACCTTGGATAACACAGAATGAAAAAGCTACCAAAGCAATAGTTCTCTTTACTGCACCCAACCACAAGTGTCACGATAAGTGATTATTTCTCTCTTTTGATTAGCCAAATCATACAAACAAGTGTTATGGGAAAACATTTTTGAAAATGCTTCTCATTTTGCTGTGACATATTTCTCCCTATGCTTCTATGTTTTAATCTAGCACAATGTTATATTGTTATTAACAATAAATAACCATTGTTGTTTTCAAACCATTTAAATTACATACACACTTGAGATCTTTAATAAATCTGTCTCTAAGCTAAAGAGAGAAAAGTTAGGCATGCCATGTGATGAGACATGGAACAGCCCTGAGAAATACGTGAGATAATTTAAGAACCCTTACTGAACCCAGGATAAAAGACACCTACCACACCTTTATTTACAAGCCTGCTACCGTGTAACAAAAAAAAAAGTTAGATTGATATGATGTGGTTTTTTCACTTGATGAACGTGTGTTGTTGCTATTCATCTCAAGTACCTTTCAGGTTGTTAGTTAATAACTAGTTACAGATTTATTTTTCCTAAAAGTGAACTTTGACTGATTTTTCTGTCACTTTGCTTTATTATTTTTTTGAAGATGGGCAAGTATAGAGTAATTTTCTGGTCTTTCAATGAGGGGATTTCATCTTTACCGATGTCACTGAGCATCAGCCTGGGATCAGGGAAGCAAAACCTTCCAGGCAAAACTGCTTGTAAAATCAAGCATTTTTAAGTACAATTCGTTTGTCCCAACATGAGCTGAAGCTCATACCCCATTTGAGGGTGGTGATGGGAGAACTGGCTGAGCCCTTGAACCCATGCTGCCAGATCTCAGCAGTCACTGCCGATCAGCTCAGGTTACTCCAGGCACTGTTACTAGTACACACAGAGATGGCAGCAAGGAAGATTTGCAGTCTCTGCAACCTTACACTAATAGCTAAATTCAGGTTTCAAACCAGCAGCGCTATCCCTCTTCCAACACATTAGTCCTATTTGGGTGATGAGTTTTTCCTCTGTCTCAGGAAGGGGTCATCAGTCACTACCACCTTTTCCCCATGGTGATGTCTTTTTCGCTTTTGGGGCACGCACCTTCCACATCTTTACTGGTCTCTACAGCATCCCTGCTTGTCATCTGAATGTGTAGCTGCCAGAGAGCGGGATCCAGAAAACAGCAGCCACTGTCTTCCTTTGCTCCCTGCAAAGTGCCCAGTCTCTCCCCTACTACTGGCACTGTGGCACCTTTCTAGTTTTTGTCATTGAAGGCCTCCAAACACCTCAGAGATCATTTGTGTTAGCTGAAATACCAATTTTTCATTTACTGTTAGAGGATTGTTTTTGCCACCAGATGGCAATAAAACATGGGTATGCTTGAGGAGCAGTCTCACAACAAAAGATACTTGCATTAAAGCTCAGCAACTTCAATAGAAGAGAGCATCTGCAAGAGTTCAGAAAAAAAGTCAGAATGTCTTTTGAACCTTATGGTGATTTACTTTCCACTTAGTGTTCTAATTAACATAACTGGAACAATTACGGGTATTGTACATATGACTCATTCATCTAAAAATGTCCACCTCAATAATGATTTTCAAAATATGTTAATCTGCCACTTCTTCAGCAAAGAGACTGAAGCAAAAAAAATTATCCAAGTTATGAAAATAACCCTCCTAGAGCCAAGCTATTCTAACATGTAAATAAAAAATAACAGGATTATATAGTAGGCAATGTATTTTTAACAAACAGAAGACCTACAAAAGCTTCACCCAAAACCTAAGTACATTTTTTGTTGTCACTGCTGTTTAAAAAACATAACCCACTTTAAGAAATCTAGATAATTATTTCTCTTCCACAGGCAGAAAGAAGGCAAGAGGAAGAACAGATTGCCTAAGGTTATACAGAATTTGTGGCAACAGAAACAAAAAAAAAAAAAACCACCCAGAAGAAAAAGTCCAACCCACCTCTCAAGACCTTCTCAGGTGTTTCAAGTCATTACCTTCCCAAAGCTTACTCAGCAGCACCATTTAAAAGTATCTATTAACTCCTACAAAAAGTATTTAATCTTACTGATATATTAGATCAAAGAATCACCAAGCTAGGAAGTATACTGAAAATTGTGAAACAAAAACCGAATGTTTAAGAAATAGGTTTTAATATATAAATTAAGGCATACTAACTCAAAGGAAGAAAAACCCACAAGCTCACTAGCCCTCCTTTAAGAAATTATGGTAACACATGACAAATTGCTATAGGTTAGCATGCTTACTGGCAAAACTTGAGAGAGAAAATTAAGAGTTGAAATGGAACTAAGCTATCTTATGCAGAATTCAGTTATATTGCTCCAGGAGTACTGAATGCTAATGCAGCCTTAAAATTCTTGTCCCAAGGTCAGCTGTGTGCCAACACTTAACATCTTAAAGACACACAGGGAAAAATCCTTCTAAAAGCACAACTACAGGAACACATAATGCATTCCTCCTCCTGAAAAGGAATCATGAGTAAGAAAGTGAGAGACCAGTACTCTATGCTCATTGATAACTACTGAAATATCACAGCACTTTGGCATTTAAAACAAATGCTGCCTAGTAAGAACGAACAAGCTCCCTGTATCTTATGCAGCAGCAGTCAAATACTGAAAGAACCGGTATGTCTTTTGCCTGAATTTAGACATCAGACTCTCACAAAATAAACTGCCCTCCCATCCAACCTCTCAGCCAGGAAAAGAGTATGTAGAATTCCTCCCATGTACATCCTCTGAATGGCTAAGCTAATTTATCGCAGCTGTCTTGCCTGCTTGTAAAACCTGAAGTTTACCATCAGACAGCCTCCCAGCTAACAGCACCCTGTCCACACCTGTGCCTTCTAAAAACTCACTGAATTGTATCTTCCCAAGTGGGACTATTTTCTCCAAAACCAATCTCTTCTCTGAGCTCCTTCAGAGATTAGCAAAAATGAAGGCACAAGAATCTTGTTAGACCTGATACTAGACATACCCAATGCTGTGGAATTGCCCAGGGACAAATGCAAACCAGAGAGAAAAACATCAAGCTGGATTTGGATTGCTTATCATGCTTTATGTCAGATGGGAACTTTTTTTTTTTTAGTTGTGACTTCTGGGTGGGAAACAAAGGTGCTCAACCAGAATTTAGGTCTGTTTATTACAGAACAAAGACTGCATGCTTATTTGGTTCAATTCTCTCTTTCAGCAAGATGTCGTATAATGCCATTTTTCTTCAGTAGAAGAAGAGCAACTGAACTGAAAACATGAGATTAAGAATGAAAAACTGTGACCCTACCTACAGGACTGTCAATGGACTACTTCGAGACAAGTAACAAGTATCAGCCTCTCACTGCAAGAAGAAAGCCACCTCGGAGCCCCAGAATATTTACAAGATGGAGATTTTTTTTCACCTCTCTCTTCTAGCCAGTCTAGTAATTTAGTGGATACAGGCCACATTTACAATTTCATTTGAAATGCAGCTGGGCAGTCCCAAAAAAGACTCAAAGTAGGATAGTCAAGAACAGGTCAGAGTCCTTCAGAGGACTGTAAATTATTTTTGACAACCATATTTTAACTTATTCTATGCTACTAGTTACTTCACACATTATCACACTTAGAAGAAAATAGTCACAACTACTAAAAACTGGCTTGTCACTTAAAACATTTAATTAAAACCTTTAGTTTTGCCTCCAAGATTTCATCAGAGTGCAGCACTTGCATTGATGTGGAAGTGCAAATTGTGTAAGGCCGTTTAGGAATTGTACTGTTCCCACCAAAAAATATTCGTTATTAAAGGCTGCACCCTTCCATGCCATGTCCAACCCTAATAATGAGTGGTCAAAGTTTCCTCTTGTGTTTGCTCAAATACCTCAGCTACCAGTCTTTATCCCTTAGTGCAATGACTCAAAAGTTAAATGAAGCTTTAACCTCCTCTGTCAATCAAATCCACATTACAGAAAGATTCTCAGCCAGTTCCAAAGTGTTGCTAAAATATCTTGCAGCCATCTCTGCATGCCAATATAGAAAGTGCCCTCTCCTTCCCAAGGAATAATGTAAGATTAAGAACAGTTATTTTCAAAATAAGAGTCAAGAAAGATCCTAGGATTAGAGATCAGTTAAGCTTGCTACAGCAGTTAAGAACCTGATACAGTCCTCTAATTTCTTTCTATAACATTTTAGGTAATTATGGACTTGATAAAAATCAGTCCAGCATCTGCTTCCTGTAAAAGAACACTGTGCTTCACTAAGCAGTTTTCTTTATTTTCTTCTTTTAAAATTAGTTCAGAAAGATAAAGGTGGCTTAAAAGATAAAGTTCTTCGGAACTTCACCACCAAAAACAACAGTGGAACAAAGTTTAAAGAAAGTAACAAAATAATTAAAGCTTGCGTTTTAAAGGTCTTGGCATGTAATCCCAAACAGGATTCTCTCAAGGGGAGAAATGTCTTGACATCCAGGAAACACAGAATTACACTGAAGCTCAGTTCTCCAGAATTTTTAATTTTTTGTTGCGTTATTTAAGTTATAATGAAGAACTACTTTTCAGCAGAGAAGGTACCTATATGAAAACCTAGAGGCCTACCTAAACCTAGTAATGCTATGTGAACCTATTAATGGGGAAAATACCAAAAAGAGAGAAGCCCTTTCATTACCCCCTTAACCAAGGGACAGTGATGATTTTACAAAATGGGATAATACAGACCAGTCGGGGCAAGTTTAGAATGGATGTCTAAGAATAAGTATTTAACCACTTGAGGTTAGAGTGTAAGAGTGTACTTTCTAATTCATACGTCCCTGCAGTTTACTCATTGTATTGGGTTTGTGTGGCAATGTTTTGGTTGCAGGAGGGAGGTTAGAGGGGTGGCTTCTGTGAGAAGCTGCTAGGAGCTTCCCCCGTGTCCAACAGAGCCAAAGCCAGCCAGCTCCAAGGCAGACCTACCGCTGGCCAAGGCCAAGTCCATCAGTGACAGTGGTAGCACCTTTGGGATAATGTATTTAAGAAGGGGTAAAAAAAAACCCCAGTGCAACTGCAGCCAGAGAGAAGAGTGAGAATCTGTGAGAGGAACAGCCCTGCAGACACCCAGGTCAGTGCAGAAGGAGGGGGAGGAGGTGCTCCAGGCACCAGAGCAGAGATTCCCCTCGAGCCCATGATGAAGACCATGATGAGGCAGGCTGTCCCCCTGCAGCCCGTAGAGGTCCACGAGGGAGCAGATACCCACTTGCAGCCCAGGGAGGACCCCACGCTGGAGCAGGTAGATGCCCAAAGCAAGCTGTGACCCCATGGGAAGACCACGCTGGAGCAGGCTCCTGGCAGGACCTCTGGACCCATGCAGAGAGGAGGCCAGGCTGGAGCAGGTTTGTTGGCAGGGCTTGTGACCCCACAGGGGACCCATGTTGGAGCAATCTGTTCCTGAAGGACTGCACCCCATCGAAGGGACCCACGCCAGAGCAGTTCATGAACAACTTCAGCCCCTGGGAAAGACTCACACTGGAAAATTTCATGGAGGATGGTCAACCGCGAGAGGGACCCCATGCTGGAGCAGGGGAAAAGTGTAAGGAGTCCTCCCCCTGAGGAGGAAGGAGCAACAGAGACAACATGTGATGAACTGACTGCAACCCCCATTCCCTGTCCCCCTGCACTGCTTGAGGAGAGGAGGTAGAGAATTTGGGAGTGAAATTGAGCCCGGGGAGAAGGGAGGGGTGCAGGGAAGGTGTTCTAAGATTTAGTTTTTATTTTCTCATTATCCTACTCTGATCTGATTGGTAATAAATTAAATTAATTTTCTCCAAGTCAAATCTGGTTTGCCCATGATGGTAATTGGCGAATGATCTCTCCCTGTCCTTATGTTGACCCACAAGCTTTTTGTTATATTTTTTCCCTCTTGTCCAGATGAGGAGGGGAGTGATAGAGGAGCTTGGTGGGCACCTGACATCTAGCCAGGGTCAACCCACCACAGCCATTTTGTTAGGAATGCCAGCACAGAGCTCAATTCTCTTCTTTCTTCTGTTCTTATATGGTGCTGGGAAAACTAGATGAAGATTCTCTATAGCTAGGCCATATTCATGCATTTCTGCATGCTCTGTTAGAGATCAAAAGCCAGATATGTAGGAATGGCAAGTGTTTGTAACTCCAACTAAACCAAACTTGATCTTTTAATCATATATAAAGTACTCTAAGCGTATTACATGCTTGAAGATCCTAAAGTTTCTAAGCTGAGCATACAGAAACACTTGATTCCAGTTTTTCCTTTCTCGTCCACAGTACAAACACTCTATTTCATAGAGGCATTGAAAATATTGATGTGCTTTACAAGCAGTAATTTGGAAAAAAACCCACAGCCTAAGCAGACTGAAGGCTACCTTCCTACTGAACAACGAAAAGACCTTCTAAGAAAAAAATACACACAAAAACTTAATTACACCTCACACACAGGGACAGACTAAAGTTCTACAGGCAGCTTCAATTTTGTTTCTTCCCCAGTTTCATCATGTTCTATAACTTAAAGAGCACTTTTTATTTTTAAATTCTGGTTTGGATGTTATTTCTTTTTACTATTTTAAGTAGAAGTCAATAGTAAACCCATTATTTTGTTGGTTACACTGGTTTAGAAGCAACAACAAAAAAACTTGAGTGATAGAAAACCGCAGCTGCTTTTATATATGCTAGGGAACTGAGCTACACAACAGCAGATTAAGTGCCCCTTAGAAGAGTACAAAGTGGTGAGTTCTGATGAAAGGCCTCAATACGTCACATACCTCAGTGGTATACACGTACTGTATTTTTATTTTTGACCAGACAAATACACAGAAGCCTTGTTCTCCCCCAGTCTACCTTCTGCTCCACTTAGTGCAGTGAGCTCAACCAAAAAAGACAAGTCACAAAAAGAAGCTGTGTAGAATCAAATCTGCGTGCACTGGAGCAAGAGTTAAAGGTAGTACCAAAATTTTGGTGTGTTAATTAATACAACTGTAAAGTTCATCAATAAATTAATAGATCAAAGCTAATTTCTAAAACATTTGTAAGTAATAATGTTTCTCCATTGCTTCAAGTTTGATCTTGGCTTAAATTTACTATGCGCTCTAAGATTTTGATTTTACTGTTTTCCCAGATACGACAATGAAATTCGTTGGTCTTAAGCACACAGTTCTGAAGCAGTGGGCATTTGTTCCAGACAGTCTAGCTGCACCTTTCTTCAAAAAGCTTAAGTTTTCCTTGAATATTTTTTCTTCCTGATGAAATACAACAGCACTTTGTCCAGGCATTGAACCAAAAAGAGAGAGGCTACCTGTTTTGGCAGTGATGAGTTGCAAGACCAATGGTCGTCTTGTTACAATTCCAGAACCTCGTGGAAGAAAATCCCTGGAAACATTAAAAAAAAATAGTTACTACCCAGAAAGCACTGTCCAGTCACATAAGATATTGGACTAATTTGGAACCTCCTCTATACCTTCAGCTGCAATGAAAATGGAAAGTTTGTGGGGACATATTTACATCAAACACCAGTATAAAGTATGGCTGTTAATTCTGGTTCGATATAATAGTAGGTCACTAGACAAATACATAATAAAACCAAATTACTGTCTCAAGACATTACCAATTCTCTTTCTTCATGACCATCACATATAACATTTTCAAAACTTACCTTGCATAGTAAGAGTACCTGAAGCCATGCCCACATTTATCAGTCTCTCTAAATAAGCATGTCCTCACCTTATGCTTGATTTGAAGAGGATATGGGCATATGAATACAGGCACTCTCACACACCAAACCAAAGCTCTGGCCAAACCAAATTGCCATCCCTCCGCACTCACTCTTTCACACAATTGACTTCTGCCAGTTCAAATCCTCAAATAACTTTTCCAGCAACACATCCAGAAGTTTTCAAGTGACAGCTGAACCCTAGAAGTACTCTGGGACAGCAGGAGCGAGTGTCCTTGGACCAGAAAGCAAGCAATGAAGCAAAGACAGCAACTCTCTCATGTCATGCATCCCCATGATCTTTTCCTTGCCTCTAAAGGCAGGGACACTCCCTAGGCAACTGAAATCCTATAGAAAACCTTGAACCAATTGTTAGTTGCAAAACCAATGATCAGAAACCCAAAGCAAAATAACAGACTTTATTCCAGGGTCTTCCCCAGTTGCCGTATCAATTGAACTCTTACAAACTTTGGGATGAGGTTCAGTGATGGGCTTTGAAGAGTGCTCCCTTCAAATAAGCATTTTCAGAGGAATAAAATTCAGAGGTAAACAGACAGTTTCACAATCAGCTTAAGCTGATCAAAATCCCCTCCTTTTTCCTGCCTTAGCAGGGATGCTGAATCACCTTCTTGCCTGCCTTAGCAGCATTGCTAACCCACCCCTCCAGCTCAGGTGAAAAGCAATGCAGCAAACAGTTAGGGCATTAATTTTCAGTCAAATGGCAGAGCTGATCTGAGTGACTGTGCTGTCACACATGCTAGTGCCAGTAGGAAGGGTGAGGCAGGAATGTGCAGTGTTTGGGAGGGGTCTGGAGAAGGACAAAAGAGTCAAAGGAAGAAAGATAGAACCCTGTCAAGCCCCTTATACAGAACTGCTTAGATGGGTCTGCTCAAACCACTTGAGAAACCACACCTTACCCAAAGTCACTGCGTATCTTCATACTGACGTTGTGCTACTTAGCAGATGCCCAATTTTAGCAGTTCCTGTAAGGTTTAAAACGAGCCTAGAGGATACATCTATGAACAATAAAACACACAAATACTTCATCAAACTTCAGAATATTATTTGTGCAAATCAGAGGGTATTAGGTCTGAGGAGTCCCAGATCAAGACAGGCTCATGAATGCAACAACAGTGAACCTCTTTCCACAAGCTCCAACAAGGTAACAAAGCTTTGGCAGCCCGCAGGAGAGATGTGGCAACTCTACCTGTGATACAAGCTCTGAAGATTTCCTTCCCAACCTAACATCTAGACATAAAAAAAAAAATAAAAATAAAAAAAAAAAAAATAAAAATCATCAGGCAGTTCTAAGGCTCTGAGGAACAAGACTGGCTGTCAGCTGTGCCTCATGCCACTTTAGAAGTCCCCAGCATTTTGAATGAAACAACGTTAATTTCTAGATAAAATAGCAGTCTCACTTTCTCAGTACCTGTTAATGTGTGCTTACAGCGTGATCACTCTGTAAACTAAAGCACACTGTAAAAGGAGAGGATGTTTAAACACAAGCTAGTCCATTAACTTCTACACTCAAGTACAGATCTGCAGGCAAAAGTACAATTAATCAGCAATTCAATCAATAATCTCTAAAACAAAGATAAAGCAAAAACATCACACATACTGATTTATACCTACTGCGATGTTTTACAACACTGGAGACAGCAATAGGATGCAAGAACGAGCTTAGAGAGATGCTAAAGGCCTTCAAAAGGTCTATCACAATTTCAATACCTGCCAATGGAGAAAATCCTGTGCCCCACTGAAGTGCCATCTACTGATGTTTGCTCACAGGCAAGAGGAGAAAATTTTAATGGAAACATTACTTTCTCTGTATGCACTGAAATGACAGTAGCCCAGGATGTAGAAAACGTCCATTGAGATGACAGTTTTGTACTTTGATTTTCAAGCATTTCAGATCTTATTTTAAAAAAATAAATTAATTCTTTTTCCATCAAGAAGCTAAAAGGAATTGCCATTCAGGACAAATTGATCACACAAAACAAACTAAGGTCCTCTACAGCACTACATAAGGCAGTAAAATCCTTCTTCAACGAGTCAAAGGCTGAAAAGACTTATTGATTTTCTGCGTCAGACTAAGCACATTCAGAGATAAAGAACACTGCATTAATGCAACTCCTAGTTATACAACACTGACCTTCCCTCAACAGCAAAATTAGAAAGAAATGTACAACAATTTTCCTTCAGAATGTTCTCTTAACGTGTCCAAAATAGGTGGCCTTTGATAACCCTCTCTAACAAACTGAACTATTGTCAAAAAGCCCATCACCTGTTCAAGCAAACATGAGCAGAGAGAGGTTCCTGCTTGGTGAGAAGGCGATCTGTGTTGATCACATAACCAGCTAAACAGTGTGCAGCAGGACATAAGGCTTCTGCTTCAGATCTACAGTTTGAAGAGGAAAAAATTACAAAGAGTGAGGATAAAAAGGGGGTCATGGGGAGAGTTCCAGAGAAAACTCCCCCCCTCCCATTAACTGCTGAATGTGTATTTTACCTCTATGAAACAAACATCGACCTCAATTAATAAATCTACCTTCACATGAACTTTTTTTTTTTAAAAAAAAGATTTGAAATTTCAGCTTCAGCCACAAGGCAATGGCATCTGTGCATTTTTCTCTGCACAGCCCAAATCAGATGTTGCAAATAAATACCTAATCTCTACTTCTAGAAAAAGACTGGTCTTTAAACATACAAAGAAGCGTAAGTCAAATCTGAGACATAACTTGCACTTTTTTAGGAAAAGCAGCATAGTAGCACATTACAATCCTAGCAGCAAGGGAATCAGATTAAATATTGTGCCTACTTTGACATCCACAAGACAGGATGCAGATGTTCTCCCCCTTGACTTGATATGGAAAGCTTTCTACACAGGGTTTGTTAGCGGTGCTGAAAAAATAAAAACCCAGTGTATTAGGAATAGCCCCACACCCTCATTTTTCCCCAAAACATATACCTAAATTAAATGTTTCTTAAAGAAGGGGAAAAAAAAAAGCTTCGGCTACAAAGGTTCCTTCTAGCCAGAAGGATGATGCACCTCAATGTCCTGGTGGCACACTTAACATTCTTTAAAGGACAGGTTTGAGAGAGTTGCTTTTCCAAATCTTTTGGTCAGTGTGTACAGATACGTTTAGTGAGGGTTGAGAGAAAAAAAATTACATCAGAGTTGAAGCAGCTGCAAAGAAATCCAGCTAGGAAAAAGGACATGCCTGAGAATTTGTGCATAAAGACACCGACAAGGGAGAGAAAAGGCTGGCTTCTGTGGTGGGGACAGCGAGCCTGTGAGTACCTGTGCGCACAACTGCAAGACCACTTGACAGTAACTAAGGTGCAGGAAACAAGAATGAAACCCACTATGCAAGAATAAAGCTGGGAATGAAAGATATGCTCCTTTAAAAGACATGCATCCTACATTAAGCATCAAGCTACTTTTTCATTTGATACAATCTTTATCCTCAGAGTATTTTCAGCAGAAGGTACTCTGCTGACAACAGCTATACGGGCTCAGTAGCAATGCTGTTGTGACATGACAGTTTGGAGATCAGCAGCAAAGCCTGTCCAGTGTTGCCTAGCCAGTACTGAATATATCAAATGCAAATAAGATGCAAGCAACCAGGTCTTCCAGAACATCACTTCAGTAACTCTTCACCCTTAGAATGCACTCATCTGTTAGAATACCATTAAATATTTTCAACAGCAAAATATTTTCAGTACCAAATAATTTTTACCCTAAGAACTATAAAATTACTGATATCTTACTGCACAACATAAACTATATTGTCTTCTCGCTCTAATACAGCTCATTTCCAGCATCAGAGGTCTGGACAACTGTATCTACTAAAACGTTTGTTTCAAGTGTAAAGGTAACAGATATTAGTTTGAATTTGACTCGCTAAAACCCAGGTCTCAAAAACTGATGTCACAGGATGGTGAAAGAAGTTATCAGTGGTCACACCAACACTTTAGCAGTTTGTAATAACAAGACAGTTATGGGTCTGATCTTTGCTACAGTAGACAACTTTACTGTAAGAAAAAAAAAAAAAAAGGAAAATTCATGTCTCTGTATGTTGTTTTTCCTTTATCATATCAACCTCTCTGACTGATGCTCAAAAAGCAAATAAGCTGAAAAAGTAGTTAGACAAATCATTAATGGGAAGAGTCCCATAGAAGACATAGGAACACCCTTTCAAATTTCAGAAAGGGCAGAAACCATAATGAAATGCTGAAAAGCAAACTAGACAGGGGCTCCTTCAGTGAGGTTGTCTCATTATAATGCAGGACTATAACTTACAAAGAAAAGAACACATATCAAACAGACAAAATACAGACACAAGGTGTACCAAGGGGATTTCCAGGTAGAGGAAGAGTTTTCATTTAGGAGGTCTCTAGCACACTAGCAGTAATATATTTTGATTTAAAAAAGGAAAAAAAAAAAAAAAAAAAAAAAAAAAAGACAAAACCGAAGAATCCCCAGTTTGTCTGAAGAGCAATGATGCATCACCACTTAAAACTTAATCATGGTTTAAAAAGAGTAATTTAAATCTGCTTTACTTTGCCAGTGCAATACTGAGAAATGTTCTGCACTTTGATCAGTTACATGGGCAGTACTATACAGGATAAATGGTGATTAATTTGCATTAATACCAATATAATTAATTTCTATAAAACATAGGTGGAATCCAGGAAATCAAATAATGGGGGAAAACGTCAATGATTACACAGTAACTGCATTAATGAAAGAGCTAGGAACAAGTAAAACTGATAGCGATGAACAGTCAAGAAAATCAGAAGTCCCACTAAAAAATAACCTTCACATTTTTCACAAAGGGTAGAAACAAGACAGGCTCAGGACAAGAGCCAGAATTCTCTTACAGAAGAGCACAAATGACCCATCTAAATCTATTTCATTTTGCCAGACAACATTGATAATGTTACTTATAAAAATTTTTCCACTAACCTTCCCTCAAATGCAGAAAGGCCATATTCCATGGGCTGCTCATATGAACAACACTGCTGCAGTAGCATTCCACACAGGCCTTTATTCCCAACATTTGCCACGGACTGCAACGCAGCTTCAATTGCAATAGGAAGCAATTATGCCAAAAGTCAACAGTTTTCCTGGGCTTTTTTCCAACACAGTGTTTATTGTTTTATACAACTCCAGCCTGGCACACTAGGAGCACTTGTAGCTCATACTGGCTGCTGAATGGCCGTATCTCGTGCAAAAGAACGCAGTGTTTCACAGTGAATACCCACACATGCCCATACAGCCAAGCACCTCCCAGTTCCGTGGCAAATGTACACTGTACAGCAGTACTACAAAAGGCTTTCATTTTTCTTGCATTTATCATATTTAACCTGAAAGCAAAGTGCTACAAACGAACAAAACAGGGAAAAGCATGGTCCAGTGTAGGCCTACAGAAGAGACACATTAATAATTTCTACCTTCTTTCCTCAGGTTCACTTTCTAAAATCCATAAACCAAAACAAGTTAGTTTATAACTGAAGAACTCTTAATGCTAAAAATACACACCTGAAGACCTATTTTGGCAGACGTGTTCTTTCTATCTTGCCTGCTCTCACTCCCGTGCTCACCAACACCACAGAGGACCCAGCAGTAGATCCATCACGCACTTTTGTTCATTACAAAGCAAGGTACGTCCAAGCAATGGGAAGTGTACTTTGCATTTAAGCAGAGTTTTTCTTAGGAATTAAATTCATAATGTCAAGTGAAGTACTTTCTCAGAGGGGGTTTGTCATCACTGACACTAGACATCACTGTATTTAGTCTTCCTTAGTGGATTTGGAAGCACAATTCCTCCACCCTCGAAATGACAGTACAAAGATAACTCCAGGACACATTTTTAAGAAGCCACAAAAGCTTTGAGGCACTACCTCTGTTGTGCTTTGACGTCCTCAACCACATAC